AGCCCCCTATCCAACAAGTGGATCTGCCCCTGCTTGGAAAAGCTCACCGCGACCTGCGGTGGAGAGGATGGTGAAACAGATTAGGGAGTTATAGGCGAAGGTTGATGGAAAAAAGGTGGGGAGAGCTCGAGTGTTTGTGTGCTCTTAGCTCGACACCCACTCGCCCAACCCTTGGGTTTGCGTAGCTCGTGTTGCGTCCCACCTCGCCAACTTGCGACGTTTGCCGAAAACTTCACCTAGCATGTGAGTCTCCAAGCATGCCTCGCCAACTAACGTCGTATACCAACAGCTTTGCCCTTCACGCAAGTCGTGATCAATACTTGTCCATGCGAATTCACACTAAACTCGTGGAATTGGGCCTAAAACCTCACCTTTTATCGGACTCCCTTCTTGACTCTTTGCTTAATTTTGCGGAGGACGCCGAGCTCGGGGATGCGCATTGTCGCCGTCGGGTCGCACGCGGTTGCTGCTTTGGGCGCACAAGTCACTTGGGAGTCTGTGGGTCTCGTGCGGGTCGCGCTAAAGTTGCATTTTCTTTTATTTTATTGTATTTTATTATAAATATGAGAAATTATTAAAATAGAAATATGTGAATTCATATTTTGTCTACAATCATTTGCACTATATTTTTACTCTGCTAGAATATTTTGTCTTTGTACCTTTTATTTTACATTGATTTTAATATACATATTTTTAAATGAAATTCTTACAATGAAATTCTTACAATGTAATTGAAAAAATTATATTTAGATTGAATATAATTGTGTTTAATATTTTTTTTTGAATAATGTGCCGGTAGTATTAAACATATTAATAGATTTATTTAGTTTGTAATAATTAACTTAAATAAATTCAACAACGAAAGTTTTTAAATTACATTAAATGTGGTAATGTAGAACACTCTGACCGACTTGAAACGGTTTGCTCGTTCTCTTCCTTGCCTGTAGAACGCCTCGTATTTGCAAAAACTCCCACACCGGAGTTGTTCTCCAGTGAAGGGCATCTGATGCTTAAATGAGTATGTGTAGAAGATGAACTCTCAAAGAGTATAATGAATGTAATGGATAAAATCACATGTCTCACCCCTATATATAGAGGTGAGGTACCTGTTTCTAGAAGGTTGTCAACTTTGCTGAGTTAGCTGCCCAAAACTGCCCGAGCTGCCAGATCGTACAACACACACTGAAGGTATGTCAGAGACAGTTATATGTGTGAGCCAATCAGTCCATTACACGTGTCCACACCACAAGAGGATTTGATTCTCCTGAGATCTTCTCGAAGGCTCGACCAACTCTAGATCAGTTTGCTGTTGTAGGTCGAGTTTCAACCAGGTGCAATCTAAACAAGCTTATTTCCTCATGATCAGAAAGAGATAAAGCTTTCATTTGCAAGGTTAGTCTCCCCCATCATTGCCAAACAACTAAACAACAAAAACACCCCTTAGTTGTAGCTTCAATTTTCATACATATTTTGTTGCCTTTTCTTTTCATTTTGGATGTTTATGATTGTAGTCATGCCTTGTTGTTTGCCATGAAACATTTGAAGGGGAAGTTATTATTATTTTCCCGTATTTCTGTTCACTTAGGGTGTGTTCGTTAAATGAAAAACTCAAACCAAGTTAATTCTACTTAAACTTTAATTTAACTCTACTATCCTCAATATTATCAATATAATTAAATAATAACAATCAATCATTAAATAATAACAACTAATCATTTTTTCACATTATATCAAATTTAATTCACTATTCCTCCACTCACATAATTGAGTAACCATCACTTCATAGCATCTCTCTCATACTTTTACAGCAAATCAATTTTAATTATTTTATTTTAAGTATTATTTAATATGAACTCAAAATCTTACTAACAACTAACGACACATTTTTTTTTAAATTAATAATAGTTAATTAAAAAACCCACTTTGAGTTTGGTTGCACGCTTGATGTAATTATCCGGAGTTCTATTTAAGTTTGTTTGATTTGTGAGAAAGAAAAAAAAGGAAATTGCATCATGTACAATCCTTTTAAATTTTTATTACATAAATATAACAACCTTGTAAATATTAGCATGTTAACATAATTTAGCGATTTTATTTGCAGAAATACCAAATAGAGTTTAAATATGATGCAATCAAGATTAGGCGTACTTAAGGAGAAAAACTTATCTCACTCATCTCTCTCCCAAACTCTGTAACTGCAAACCCTATCTCCTTCATCTCTCTCCCAAAATTTCCTTTGCACCAGAAAGTTTTTTATGCCTATGGAGGAGTAGGAAGAAACACCAAAAATCGTTGCTAAAAATTGCTCGGATTTTCAACGACGTCCGAACTTCACACGCCACCCACAACCGGAAGCTCAAGGGACTTGCTGCCCTCCGCTCGTCCTCGCCTCCGCCAAAATTTTGTGCGGCATTCTCCAAAGCCCTAACGCTGCTTTTCATCTTCCAGTGTCATAAGTCTGCAGCTGAGCACATCATCAAATTTCGCATCCTTGTTTGACTGCTCTTGCGACGATCGTGACCTGGGCATTGATGTAATTATCCGGAGTTCTATTTAAGTTTGTTTGATTTTTGAGAAAGAAAAAAGAGGAAATTGCATCATGTACAATCCTTTTAAATTTTTATTACATAAATATAACAACCTTGTAAATATTAGCGTGTTAACATAATTTAGCAATTTTATTTGCAGAAATACCAAATAGAGTTTAAATATGATGCAATCAAGATTAGGCGTACTTAAGGAGAAAAACTTATCTCACTCATCTCTCTCCCAAATTCTGTAACTGCAAACCCTGTCTCCCTCATCTCTCTCCCACAATTTCCTTTGCACCAGAAAGTTTTTTATGCCTATGGAGGAGTAGGAAGAAACACCAAAAATCGTTGCTAAAAATTGCTCGGATTTTCAACGACGTCCGAACTTCACACGCCACCCACAACCGGAAGCTCAAGGGACTTGCTGCCCTCCGCTCGTCCTCGCCTCCGCCAAAATTTTGTGCGGCGTTCTCCAAAGCCCTAACGCTGCTTTTCATCTTCCAGGGTCATAAGTCTGCAGCCGAGCACATCATCAAATTTCGCATCCTTTTTTGACTGCTCTTGCGACGATCGTGACCTGGGCGTTGGAGGTGGTTGGGGAAGGGCAATCCACAGCAAGGACGATGGAGGAGGCAGAGTCGTCTTCACCGTGATCGGAGAATTCCTATCGTCGAGGAGGTCTTCGTCTTCATTGCCGGCGAGGCTGAGAAGCTTTGTTATGAACTTCTCGGCCTTAATCTGGGTCATGGCCGCGATTTCAGGGTCTTAATCTGGGTTCTAAAATGAGAAACGATTGAACATCGAGAGTATATTTTATATATATGTCTGTACTGATCCGTCACTGACTTGAATTTTGAGAATCGCGAGTGCATATCTTATGTATATTTTATGTATACGTGGGTTCTGAAATCGATTTTGAGAAACGATTGAAACTCGAGTGTATATTTAAAGTATATTTTATGTATATGTGTGTCCGATCTGTCGTTGGCTTGGATTACGGGAATCTTGAGTGTATATTTTATGTATGTGTGTTGTATATTTTTTATATACTTAACATAAACCAGAGATAAACAAAAATTGTTTTTGTTAAAATCATATAATCTTAAATAAACAAATACTAGTATAAGATAATTACTCTCTAAATGTATACGGACTATAAACACAATATATATTGCTTATTAAAAAAAACTGAACATATACTAAATATAAAAACAATAATATTGCCTATTCAAAAATTGGGTCTACCTTTATATTTTATTGTCTAAAAAATTGTTGCCTTTCTGTTTTTTTTAGTCAAATATGATATTATATTGGATATATAACCTTACTTATCATATTCACCTAGCAGATTTTTTTTTTTTTTTTTTATTTTATTCGACGGTTATCACCCGCTAATTAAGGGGAGAAGACATTTGTGTTTTGGAAGCTTACAATATGGTAAATATAAAATTAAATCATATCTTATATCTTTTGGGTATATATGCAAATAAGATTTGGTTGGCTGTAATACTGAATATTTTTCAAATCTTATAGCGGAGGTGTAAATTTCCGAAGAAAAAATGGCATATTACTGATTCCCAGCCCAGATTCAGCCCAAATAAAAAGAAACAATTTTGGCCCAATCAGCTCTAACGAATCGTAAAATGAGATGCCCAAATACTCTACGAAGTTCGTTTCAATCTGAAATGGTTTCTTCTTCATTTCTCACACTTTCTCAGTTAAGCTCCTTCGAATTCTGGAATCTCCACCGCGAGCGTAGCCGACTGTGACCACTGACCATCGACACTTGCTCAGTTCTAAATTCAAATATGATCTCCACGCCGCCGTTCGCCGGAAGAAGACGTTCCCTCCGCCGTCGCCCTCCACCCCGCTCGCTCCGTATCAGCTTCCGCCGCCACCACCACCACCCAGCGTCTGCAGTACAGATCACTCTCATTGCTAGTTCATGAGTTGTTACAAAGGGAAAACGCCTGGCCATTCAAATTTAGGTAATTGAATAAAGTCCCAATTCGTTGCTTGGAATATACTCTATATATTGATTTGATGTTCCATTTTCGCGGTTTTTCATGATATGATATGGTTACTATGGTGATTTGAAGCTTCAAATGAACATTGAGAAGAATTTGACATATATATTTGTATAAAAGTCTGTTATCGAAGTTAATGTAACCAGGAAAAGAGAAAAAGCTGTTGTAACCAAAGTGATGAAACTGTGCGGTGTAACAAATTTTCAATTTAATGTTGGACTTCCATGTCTGTTTATCAGAAAGATTCAAACTTTACCTTTCAAGTCAGTCCAAAAAGTAGTATTCTTGTTTATAATCATAACACGAGATACGTTAATCGTGGGAATTGATACGTCAATTAAAATGATTCTGTTTGGAGTTCTGATATACTCCGGACAAAATCAGGTGTGTTTTCTCAGTGTTGTTTTATTGTGGATAGTGGTCGGATGGTGTTGCTCGCTTGATGGTTCTCGTAAGGACCTCTTTGCACCTCTCCTTACACCAATTTCCGCTCAAGTTGTCAGCAAGCTTCTTTTTCCAGGTTCGTTTTCAATTATTTCTGTTCTAATTTTTTCCACTAGCTTTTTGTCAATATGCAAATGCTTTTCTGGTGAATGATTTAGATGGATAATGCTTTGTAGGGGCATGAAGTTCTGAATTCCAAGTTAGCCCGTTTTAGCACCAATGTAGCAAATGTTATTACATTTTCAGATGACGTAAATGTCCCGAATTTCGCTGGAACCTATTCTTTGATAGAGAAAACCAACTCTGAAAGGCCGCTAAAAGAAATTCACAAAACTCCCCAAACATACAGTTTAGGGACTGCAAATGATCGTTTGGTGAGAAAACCGAGCGTGAGCTCACATTTGGATATCCAAGACTCTTCAGAATTTCGGCTCCATGATACCAGACAGTTGAATTGTGAATTTCATGATTCTTTGGGATCTAGGTACGAGAAGAAGAGACGTGATGAGTTATTGAGTCTATTTTCACGAACGCAGGACTGTACTATTCCTCTGCATGATGGCACTATTGCTGACACTTTGCGGTCCTGCACTGGTACCAATGTATCTTATTTTGTCAAACAAATTCATGCTAAAGTCATCCGTTTTGGTTTAAATACGAGCCCACATTTTTGTAACCCTCTCATTGATTTTTACCTCAAGAATGAATATATAGATTCTGCGATCCGAACTTTTAAAAATATGCTCGCAAAGGACAGTGTCACCTGGGTAGCAATAATATCGGGCCTGTCCCAAAATGGTCGTCAAGTTGAGGCCATCCTTCTTTACTCTGAGATGCGGAAGTTGGGTGTATACCCAACTCCTTATGTCTTTTCGAGCATCATAAGTGCCTGCACCAAGGTTAACTCTTCCGAACTTGGGGGCCAACTTCATGCTCTAATAATAAAGTGGGGCTTTTCATCTGAGCTTTTTGTGTGCAACTCCCTGGTCACACATTATTCTCGATGTGGGAATTTATCATCAGCTGAACTGATATTCGATGGGATGTCGCATAAGGATAAAGTCACGTTCAACACTCTAATTTCGGGCTTTGCCACTCAGGGATCGAATGAGAAATCTCTTGAGCTGTTCGATAAAATGCAGGCCGAGTCCTTAAAGCCCGATTGTGTTACAGTTGCAAGCCTATTTGGAATTTTTGCATCTATGGGGGATCTTTGCAAGGGAACTCAACTGCATGCTTACGCAGTCAAGGAGGGGATGTGTTTGGATGTCATCATTGAGGGATCTTTGCTAAACCTCTATGTAAAATGCTCGGACATAAAAGCAGCCAATAGATTTTTCCTTGAAACTCAAAATAATAATGTGGTACTATGGAACGTGATGCTAGTGGCCTATGGGCAAATGGGCGAACTCCAGGAGTCGGTCCGGATTTATTCGAACATGCTTATTGCCGGCCTACAACCTAACGAGCACACTTACCCTAATATCCTGAGAACGTGCACTTCTGGGGGGGCCCTCGATTTGGGTGAGCAAGTCCACACCCAAGTCATAAAAACCGGATTCCAGCCAAATGTGTACGTCTGTAGCGTGTTAATCGACATGTATGCAAAGCATGGAGTATTAGAAGCCGCCTTGAAAATTTTTAGGCGTCTTAAAGAGGAAGATGTGGTTTCATGGACGGCCATGATTTCCGGGTATGCCCAGCATGACATGTTCCATGAGGCAATAAAACTTTTTGAAGAAATGCAAGCACGAGGGATCCGGTCGGATAACATAGGATTGGCAAGCGTCATAAGCGCTTGTGCAGGAATTCAAGCGCTCGATCAGGGACGTCAGATTCATAGCCAGTCTATTGTGTCGGGATACTCTTCGGATGTTTCGATAGGGAACGCACTCGTTTGTCTATATGCTAGGTGCGGCCGCACGAGGGAGGCCGACTCAGCATTCGAGAGAATTAATACGAAAGATAATATTTCTTGGAATGGGTTCATATCTGGACTTGGGCAGAGTGGAAACAGTGAAGATGCTCTAAAGGTTTTCGCTCGAATGATTCGGGCTGGAGAAAAGGCCAATATGTTCACCTACGGTTCTGCAGTTAGTGCGGCCGCAAACGCGACGAAAAAAAATCTCGGCAAACAAATTCACGGCAGGATTATAAAAACCGGGTACGACACCGAGACGGAAGTCTACAACGTCTTGGTCACTCTGTACGCAAAATGCGGTTGCCTTAGTGGGGCCCGCAAGGTTTTCCTCGAGAATCCTCGGAAAAACGAAGTCTCGTGGAATGCAATGATTACGGGCTACTCTCAGCACGGGCACGGCGTGCAAGCCATAGAGCTCTTCGAAGACATGAAGAGGATGCGAATAAATCCGAATCACATAACATTTGTGGGAGTTTTGACCGCTTGTAGCCACGTGGGATTAGTGGAGGAGGGACTCGGCTACTTCAAATCCATGAATGAGAATCACGGCTTAATCCCAAATCAGGAGCATTACGCCTGTGTAGTCGATGTTCTCGGGCGTGCAGGTCAAATTCGCCGCGCGAGTGAATTCGTGGAGTCAATGCCTCTAAAACCAGATGCAATGGTATGGAGGACCCTCTTGAGCGCCTGCACTGTACACAAGAACCGAGAAATCGGGGAGTTCGCAGCTAAGCGTCTCTTAGAATTGGAGCCGAAGGACTCGGCTACTTACGTCCTCATGTCCAACATGTACGCGGTCACAGGCAAATGGGACGATCGTGATCTCATCAGAAGGCTCATGAGAGACAAAGGTGTGAAGAAGGAGCCAGGCCGTAGTTGGGTCGAGATAAAGGACTCAGTCCATGCGTTTTTTGTTGGGGATAAGCTCCACCCTCTTACGAAAGAGATCTATGGATATTTGGAGGGTTTGAACGAGCGTGCTGCTGAGATCGGATACGTGCAGGACCCTGGGAGCTTGTGGAGTGAGTCGGAGCTCGGGCAGAAGGACCCAACTGAGCTCGTACACAGTGAGAAACTGGCGGTTGCATTTGGGCTCATGAGCTTGCCTGGTGGGGTTCCCTTGCACGTTATGAAGAATCTGCGAGTTTGTAACGACTGTCATAATTGGATTAAGTTCGTATCGAGGGTTGATGATCGGGCTATTGTTGTACGGGATGCATACCGGTTCCATCATTTTAAAAACGGGTTTTGTTCGTGTAAAGACTATTGGTGACTGTGTGGCATCAGGTAATCAGTTTCCAACTAGTAAGCTCATGCTCTTACAATTAGACTAAGCCTCGGGGTGTATATTATGTGAAACGAGTGCTATGCCTGTTGCTGATGAGACTTTCTTCACGTCTACCAGACATTGAATTAATATGCTGTCGATGAATCAAAGGCAATACAAGCATTTTGAATGGTCATTTAAAACAAGTTTGTAGATATTTTTGACAACATTTTTAGTGCATTGTGAATTTATTTTGCAGTTACCTGAATTTTGTTGCAGTACTAGTAATGGATTTTGGGTGGCAGATGAAAATATTTATTTAATCTTTTTATATTGTTTTCTTGACCATAATCCATAAAGGCATAAAGCTTGGCCAAAGTAAATTTTAGAACCGAAAGTCCTTAAAGCACGAACAACTTCAGGAACTCTTTTGCAAAGTGTAGAGATACTGTAGAATCCAGTGTGTATAAAATATGTTTAAATGGGAATCTAGCTTCAAATGTATCAATCCAATATCAAACGATAGAGTGTTTGTAATCTTTTTTTTTTTTTTTTTTTTGGTACAATGAACGGAGGCCGTAGCCTAGAATTCCGTTAGATAGTGGTGTTCCGTGGATGGACGACGCCTACGACATCGTGTAGTAGTCACGGTTTAACTTTTAGTGGAGGATCAATTAGTCTCTGACAACCATTAGGAGGCGAATGCGCCAAGGTCATCGAAAATTATTGACTTTATGTGAACATCAAGAATATTTGAATTGGGGTAAAAAATGGAGAAGTGATACTACTAATTACCCTCAAAACCCTAATAAGTAGGAGAATCTACTCCGCATCAAACGGGAAATTTTAGTTCTTTAACTGATCCAAAAGCTCTAATCACGAGAGAAATAATGTGAATTGCACTTTAAAATCCTCTTTAATTGTGATTTGTCACGTTGCCCACCACCAACCGGGCATACACCACGTCGATTTCAAATGATGATTTTATGCTAAGTTCAACTACCCTTGTTTTGTATTGAGGTTGAACGTTTTTAGTGTTCTACAGTGTTTTTCAACCCGGACCGGCTCGACGGGTCGACTCGGGACTCAATCGACCCGAAGTCAGAACCGGTCCAGTTGGGCTAATTGGACTGGGCAACAAAGGAACCGGTCAAACCTGGTCAAAACCCGACCAACCCGGCCTTGACCCAGTCGACCCTAGGCATTGACCCGGCTGGGTCAACCCGACAGTTGACCGGTGACCCAGAGACCTTCCCGGGTTAATTACCGATCCGGATTTAAAAACTATGGTTCTACATGCGCAACCGTATGACTTTACTATTGGAAGTTCAGTTTACGTCTGACCTGACTAATTCGACCATATTGAACTATCGGATCACATGCAAAAATATATAATTTTATGAGTATGTTTTGATCCAACCACTAAAAATCTTGCCCACCTCGATAGAGATTTGACCGCCCATCGTGCGATTCGCAAGAAGAAACCTTATTGTTGAGATTGTCTTCAATCAAATAAATGGAAGGTGTTTTATAGTATCTCGAATGTGATGTTGGATATCACAACAAGGAAAATAGATAAAAAAAAAATACTCCCACAACAAATAGTAACAAGCACTACTACAAATGAATGCGAAGAATATGACGAGAAAAAAAAAGAACACACCAAACGATAAGGAGTTCGACAATATTGCTTACGTTTTCAGGAACTACCAACAGCAACGCCAAATTCACTAAATTTATCAACAAAATACAACTGCCCACAAATTATAGTCTTCTTAGTCAAGGATTTTCTTAAGATGTGAGAAAAGATAATAAGGTGTAATTGTAACCCAATAGCAAGCGATCTATTTATGCTAAAAGATCATACATAACTTTGGTACACATCCGATGTGAGACAAACATTAAGTCAAAATCTAATAATTCGTCACCTTGACTAACTTTGCTTCCGCTTCAACTCTTTAATCAAACTGTCGGCGGTCCCTCCCAATGCGCCACTCGACGTCATCTCAAATATGCAGAATATTGGTCAAGTTTAAACAATGTTCAAACTTGACTGTTCTCACTACCTTGGTCATCATATTCGTAGGTTTCTTCGTTGTCTTGATATTTTTCAAAACAAGATTTCCATCTTCTATAATTCCTGCACAAATGACAACGAACATGAATATGCTTCATTCTTGCATAAAATACTTAATAGATGGATTTGACGGTTTGACACAAAAGGCAGATACACTGTCGCAGCTACATATGCTAAACTAATTGCTGAGAGTGCAAGGGCAGAACATAGCAGGCCATAGTTTAGTTGCAAATAAATAAATAAAGCATGGCTGATGTGCTGAAAACTGAAAGTTTAGGGCAAAGTGAATCATTTCATTTAGAAATGTTCTTCTTGGGTGTTGTCTGTTCTTAGTAATGTTGCATAAAATGTGTGGCGGTGGATGTCAGATGCAGAGGTTGTGGGGAAGAAGATGAGTCTATTGAGCATATCTTGTTCAATTGTAAAAGAGCAAAGACGGTGTGGAAACTAGCTCCTGTCCATTAGGAGGAGTTACCTGAAGATAATAATGGAGTTTTCAAAGATTGGCAGTGGTGGATCAGTGCGTTGAATTACTCTGACATTGCTGAAAGGAGAATCCAGCTTTCCACATACATATTGTGGTGGTTGTTGAAAGCTAGAAATATGTGGCTCTTTGAAGGAGTCTATAAACCTGAGTTCGTGATTGTAAATGCGGCTGTGAAAGACTGAATGGACGTCGGCGGGTGCAAAGGTGCAGGAAGAAGGTGGTAGGAACTTATGCTTAGCTAGGTCATTTGATAGTGGTTGTGTATTTGTTATATTTTTCAGTTGGGTTTTGGTTCTTGCTTGTAGTGTTGTATCTGTTGACTTCAGCTTGTTAGTTGCCTTCGGTGCGGTTGGTAATTGTTTTTCTAAGCTATAACTTGACTATGGTGCTCTCTTTTCAATCCGCTTGTATTAGGGAACTTGTTATTTATTTTGTTGAATGAGAATTTCTATCCTTTAAAAAAAAACATTACATTTGTTCCTTTTATTTATGAGAGAGCAAGAAAAAAATTGCAAGACTAAAAGAAAAATTACAAGGTCAAGAAGGGTAGAGAACAATGAAGTGACCAAAACACCCTCCACTCCATAGTAGAGAGAAAAAACCTGTCGGTGGTAATCTTCTTTCCAGCTCAAAAACAACAATACCACACTGCATTAGTTAGTAGTACCATCTTAATTAAGCTCAATTTAATTAGTCACTTCTAAAACAAAAACCTTAAAACACATCCCTATTCACAATAAAGTACAGATTACACTCTCTCTCTCTCTCTCTCTCTCTCTCTCTCTCTCACATTACATTCTTCACTTACATTTCCCCCTTTTATTCCTCTTTCTAAAAAATAGAACAAAAAGTAAAATCTTTGCAACAAATGGGTAGAAATTATCAGCACAGGCTCAAGTTCTTGCTCCTGGCGACAATTTTTGTATCAAAGATGGAGTCTTCTTCTGTTTCTGGTGCCAAGAGTGATGAGACAGGCACATGGGCAGGGTCCAAGTACCAGATTGACTGCACAATGTGCGCCGCCTGCGACAATCCCTGCAACACCCCGTCTCCACCGACGCCGTCCTCACCTCCTCCGCCGTCCTCCGGCTCCGGCAGCTACTACGGCCCACCACCGCCGCAGACGCCATTCTCGTACTACCAGCCGCCGCCGTCACCCGTCTTCCACGGCGGCGGCGGCGGCGGAGGAACCTACTTCAACCCGCCGCAGATGGTCCCATCGGGGCCGGCGCCGCCGCCGCCGAACCCAATCGTGCCTTACTTTCCCTTCTACTATCACAACCCCCCGCCGGCTGCATCGTCCGATTCATCCATACCATTGAAGAAAGCTAACGCCTTTAATTTCATAGCTGTCGCTCTGCTTTTCTCCATTTTTAGTATCTTTAATTGATTTATTATAGTTTTTATCTTGTATTCTTTTTCCGCTTCAGCTGAAGAAAAATTAAATAAAAAATAAATGGTGTGAAAATAAAAAAATGTCAGATTCACAGATCTTCAAGCTTTGCTGATGAAAGGGGCAAAAAAACAGAACAGTGATGAGGGTTTGCAAGGCTTTGGGGTCAAAATTCTGCGAATTTCCAGTAATGCCCTTCATCTGCAAACTGGATCGGAAGAATCTTGGAGGGCTTTTTCGGAAGTGCAGAACTGAAGACATGCCTCTCTGTTACTTATTCAGTGAGGTTATCTGTAAATTCTTGAGTTTTTTTAGGTCTAATTTATATCATCTCTCTTGTTAGCTTATTTTTGTTTCACCAATTTTACAGGGGATTGTGACAAAATCCGTTTAGTTTTGCATAAATCTACAAATTTCCAATTGTTTTTTTCATTCACATATTTTTCATTCCCGTTACGGAACCATTCCGTCGAGATTTGTAACCGTTAGATCATCATGTAACCGTCGTGTATAGTTGATCTAACAATTACAAATCCCGACGGAATGGTTCCATGACAGGACCGTAGAATCTCCCGTAGTCTTGATTCTTGAATAATTTGTCAAAACTCGAGTATAGATAAATGTTCTGCACAACATCAAATAATCTTTTTAAGGGGTTGCAATCTTTTTATGGGTAGTTTATTTTTAGCAACTCTTAATTGGGTCCATTTTGTTGTGATTTTCGATGTTAAAAGAAATGAGTTAGCTCGTGAACTCGGTTCATCTCGTTTGAGCTCGAGTTCATTTAAAACTTTCAGTTAATGAGTTAAGTCGAACTTGACTCGTTAATATTAGTAACTGAGCCGAACTTTAACTCGTTTAGTTAATGAACTAAGTTCGATTAGTTTACACCTACCTGTCTCAACCTAATGAGCATTTAAGCATTTCTTGGACACCAGAGTTTGAATATTGCCTCTATGGCCTCAAGTGGGGACTAATGCTATCTGTATTTCTGTATTTCAACCAAGCATTCAATTTCAAGATAAGCTGAGCCAATCATATTATATATAGAATTTATAGGCTGTGCCCGTTAATTTGTGCTTCATGATTCATTCATGTCAAAAATGAAATCTTTGGTAAAGCAAAAAGTGTTATCTTGATAGCTTTATTTTCTGAATTTTCGTAAACAATTGGAAGTGCCCATTTACTTTTCAATTTGTTATTACCATTTTATATTACTATTAATGGAAGATGCTATGGTCCTGTTACGGAATATTCCGTCGAAATTTGTAACTGTTAGATCAACTCTCTCTAACCGTTACATGACGATCTAACGGTTAGAAACCCTGACGGAATGATTCTTTAACGAGACTTTAGCATTTTCTACTATGAGTGAGTACATGTTTTTCTTCATCTTCTTTTTACATAAGAGGGTTAAAGTTTGTTTTCTTGGATCAAGAAACTATTACCATTAGGCAATTAAACTTTTTCACGGCCGTTGGACATAGTCATAGTTGGTCCACGTTGTCTCAATCTTTTTAATAATATAATTAATTCCATTTTAGGACCATAACCATCTAATTTATTAATATATTTATTTTATAAAATTACATCTACTTGACTTGTTGAGAGTAATTTTTTGTCTAGATTTATTTTTATTTATTGGATAAAACGAGTTAATTCTAAAACATCTATTGAGTTGAGATTCAGTTGGATTTTGAGTTAAACGTAAATAAAATGTGAAAAAAAAATGATTGGTAGTTATTATTTGCTGGAAATTGTTTTATAATTATTTATTAATATTATATAAATATGTTAATATTATTAAAAGTTAAGTTATATTAAATTTAAATTTAATTTTAAAGTTAAAAATTTGTATCCTAGTTACAACAAAAAATTGAAACAATCAAAGTTCCAATTAATCTCACGAATTATATGTCAATCCGTCAATAATCTTAAGATTCCATGTGGGAGGATATTCCAATCCTTTACAGCAGGCAGTATGTCAATGTCGTTTGGGGTTGCCCAGCAAAAAGAAGAATATAGCAAATCCTACATAATTATTTAATTTTATTGTGATATTGTTTCCAAAATCAACAGTTCTTATTATTACACATTAAATATTTTGTAACAAAATACTTTTTTTTTTTGTATTTTATATACTTTTTTGTATTTTATATATACACTAAAATTTTTTAATAATATCAATTAAAGAAAACATAAAATATAAGTTACTTCAATGGTGAATCAATTCCCCATTCAAGCTTGTGTATGAAGGGGGTTGGGTTTATGATGTGCAAATTGTTTCTAGATTGGATTTGGACTGGTGATGCCATGAATCATCCTTTAATTCGAGCTTCGATAACCTGCAAAACGTGTCGGGAGGGGTTTCGGTTGGAAAAACTCCTACGCTTAAGTTATATCTCACTCATGAACAGTAAACTATGATATAGAATTTGTATGGCCAGTTTATCTTAAAAGAATTTGGCAACAACCTTTTATAAGGAAATTGTCTTCTTCCCCACGTAACCTTATTACTAGGAAAGATATTCTTCATATCTCATTTCCTAGTAAAACACGTCTCTAGGATCTTCTATATCTTGGCCAGATACATTTACTTAGTCATTTCTTTCTTTACCAAAAGATCTCATGTTCATAAGTCCTTGCACCGACCTCAATACTCTGCTGTCATATTTCTTACTAGGTCGTGTATACGACCTCTGTTATAAGACCTCCAGGTCGCGATCACCCCTCTTCTAGTCAAACTCTCAAATGAGTTCAAATGATAACAAAATAATGTAATTAGTATTTAAAAATATATATAAAAAAACGAAAAAATTTCGCCGAGCACGCCTCAATTTTTTATTAAAAAATAGATTGATTCTAGTTTTTTTTTATCGTTAAATAAATTTGTATTGATCAAAACTGGAAGTCATACAACCGAGTCGGCTATCAAGTCGAAGCGGGGAGCCACATGCCCGCTCCTCGCTCGAAAATACCAAAACCGAGGGCTTACCCATAAACCGGGAGCTCACTTGAAGTAGAAAACCCACTAAAATCCAACAAGAATGGTAGCAGGGACGCGCGTGAAACTTCTTGGGTAGCGCCGCTAGGCACCGGTAGTGGCGCTAGTGGCGACGTGGCGTGACGCGCGAGAGTTAGGCCCTAGCGGCGCTAGCTTGCAGGTAGCGGCGCTAGGACGAGGAAGCGCCGATAGCAAGGAAGCGCTGGAGGCCACCTTTCCTCTGTTGGGTCCGTAGCGACGATAGTAGTATGGAAGCGGCGCTAGGGTCACCTTAGCGGCGCTAGGCCCCCTTAGCGCCGCTAAGCCTGGGGCAGCATAAAAATTTTCCAGCTTTCTATGTTTTTGCTCTACCAAGTGCATAAGCACATATCCTCAATCAATCCAAGCACATCACATTTTACACATCAAGACCAAGGCATCGATTTTCAAATTATATCTTCCAAGTGCCCACACACTTTGCAACAACCAACTCAAAATTTTTCAAAAGTCAAGGCCAAGACATCTCATTTCGAATTCGGCAAGGACACTTGGGTAGATAGCAAAGATAGTGCGGTAAACATGTGTTTTTACCTTTCTAATCACAAGGCTTGGAGGTTGACTTTCGCCTTCAAAAATCAATCTATTGCGAGCGTTCCAAATGAAGTAGACGGTTGCCGCAAGCGCCGCTTTCTTCAATTTGGCTCACCAAGTCGTACCTTTCCCTTCCTTTTTAGTCCATTTGAGGGCGCCTTTAAGGGTAGATGGCATGTGACGGAGGCTAACCCAAATTCTAATTCCACTCCAAATCTCCGAGCTATAGGGACACTCGAAGAAGAGATGACTCGAGGATACATTAGCAGTACCACAAAGGAGGCATGTGGGGTCTTCGTTGAGGAACTCCAATCTATCTTTTGTTTGGAGCCTATTCAATACGCCGAGCCATAAGATGAAAGAATGCTTGGGGGTGTTGTAACTTCCCCAAACAACCCCGGCCCAAGGCTTCACGATACCCTTGGGACGGAGAAATTCAAAGCACTTACTCGTTTCATCCTGTTTGTCACGCAAATTCCAAGCACGGAGAAGGGCTTCCGCACCATGCTCGCTACCCACTTTTTCAATCAAGCTTTGCCGGATTTCAAAGAGGGATTTGAAGAGGGGGGAATCACTTTTGGAACCTTGCCAATCCCAAATAGTTTTCTCCTTCAAATAGATGTTGTGGATCCATTTGTACCAAAGTGAATCCTTCTTTGCTTGCATATTCCAAAGAGTCCTCATGAGAAGGGCTCGGTTCCAAGCGTCCAAGTTACGGAGCCCCAATCCACCCTCCGCACGAGGTAGACACAAAGTATCCCATGCAACGGGGGCTTTATTGGAGCCCCATAAGAACCTCCTACAAAGTTGAATGATCTTGGTTCGAACAATGCCTGACAAGTGGAATATGCCCATCCAAAAGCAAGCGATGCCTTGTATGACCGAGCGAATTAGTTCCAATCTACCGGCATAGGAAAGGGAGTGACTCCTCCATCCACATAATTGGCTTTCAACTTGTTTGATCATATCATCAAAGAGCCTCCCGGTAATGCGTTCCGCGGTGAGGGGAATCCCAAGGTAGCGGAAAGGCATAGGTCCGCTTTGCAAACTAGTGTCATCAAGGATTGTCTCACGATCTTGGTCTTTATCTCCGGCCATATATATGTTGGATTTTAGCACATTCATTTCAAGCCCCGATTTTTCTCCAAAATCCTTTAAACAATTCATAAGCAATTGAATTGATCCCGGGTCCCCCCGAGAGAGGAGCATGAGGTCATCGGCAAAGACAAAGGAGAGATTTTAAGTTTCTCACACATAGGATGGAATTTGAAGTTCGGGTCTTCCGTCGTGTGCCATTTAATGAGCCGAGATAAATATTCTATACAAAGAACAAAAAGAAAAGGCGAGAGAGGGTCACCTTGCCTTAGCCCACGAGCTCCTTTGAAATGGCCTTTAAGGCTTCCATTGATGGATAAGGAATACG